TACGTATACAGGAGAAGTTCTCTTGACCAGAAAGCAGTGGGTTGATCATCGAGCGTAGCACCGAAAGGTGATAGATACAGAGAATCGACGTTGCGAAGCTCGGGCCGCTTGGGTATCTGCAAGAGAATTGAACTTAACCGCCTGGCTTTATCGATGTAGAAACAATGTTTTCGGAGGTATCGTTGGGCTAAGCGGCGCGTCTCCTGGCAGACCAGACTGAATGATAGGAGAAGCTTAGTAGTGGGGTGCGAGGCCGGTAGAATTGTGTCGAGATTGCTTGGAAGAGAGCATGTTATTACATTTAAAACTACCTCTAGCGGTAAGTACATGGGTTTCTCCATTATAGACCAGAATTTACTTCCAGTCCCATCAACCCGAGGTGAGGGATGAAAGTCCTCGGCAGTGAATGATTCGGGCTCTGATAAGGCTAAGGCGGAAACCATACCGTTTATGATGCTCGGCGCTATTCCATATCAAGGCGCTTTCCGGCGCCCTGTATTTTTTATTGCACCCCGCCCCCACCATCAAGCGTTGTGCAAATGTCCTAGAAACTCGCATTAGAAGCCTAAACATGGAGTTCGACACAAAAACTCGTAAGCCTGCTGATCCAGTCATATCGTCACATTTCTCACGTTTCCTCAGCTCAATACAATACCAGCGACCCTACATCATTTGCCTACGTGTCCGCCCGCGACCGATGGCCGGTCATTATCACCCAAGGTATTGATGACGTTCATAGGGCAACCTGGGCCACAAAAGATGAAGAAGCAGCAAAAGAGGGGAAATGGATCGTATCGGAGCTGGCCAAGTTGAAATACGAGCTGCAACACAATCGAGAACTTACTCCACTGCCTGACGACGGAGCGGCAGATATTGCCGGATACAATAAGGAATTGGAGGCTTTAGGTAATCCGAAGTGGCATTCAGTACCTTGGCTATATTCGGAATGCTATCTCTATAGGTATATATATTTAACCCCTGGGTGAACCAAGGTTAGGAACCTCGAATGTTACTAATGGTCCCAGGAAGACGCATCTCGAGTATCTTCCAGCAGACGCAGAAATGGAAAACTTATGATCTTTTTTCTCGCCAAAAGATGTCAACATTCAAGTCTTCTCGTCCGGCTGTCATTGAACTAGCCGCTCGCTACAAGGATATTGTCACGGAACTAGAATCGAAGCATACTATAAAGGGGGCGAAAACACAAGAGGAGCTCGAGGAGGCAGAAAAGATTGTGTTTATTGAAATGATGGAGATCTGTTTGTGGGGAAATGCGACTGATTTGTCGCTTCTGACTAACCTCTCCTATGAGGATATTCAAAAGCTGCAGGGTTCGAAGGCGAGGAAAGAATCGGAGAACAATATCATCGTCAATGATCTTGACAAGGCATTCGAGGTTCTGACCGCAGCCCAGCATTCTGGTATGAAGCAGCGCAGGGTAGATATCGTGCTTGATAATGCTGGCTTCGAACTCTTCGTGGACTTGATTCTTGCGGGATACCTCCTGGCTGCCGGCCTTGCCACCACAGTTGTTCTTCACCCCAAGTCAATACCCTGGTTCGTTTCGGATGTGCTGCCTCAAGACTTCGCGGATCTTATTTCTGCCCTAGCCGACCCTCAGAGATTCTATACGACACTATCTAATGATGACAAGCATAGTGGAAAGAAGGCTATCCCTCTCTCCGACGTCGAGATCTCCGATTTGAAATTCCTATTCGAACATTGGAGTCGGTTCCATGCCGAAGGCCAGATGGTGCTGCGGCCCAATCGATTCTGGACAGAGGGAGGAAGTTATTGGAGGCTACCAAAGACAGCTCCTGGTCTACACGAGGACCTGAAGGAGAGCGAGCTCGTAGTGTTTAAGGGTGACTTGAACTACAGGAAGCTGACTGCTGATGTAAGAACTCTTATTTTTGCTAGACCCAGCAGACTAGCTGATTATTGTTAGGCTGCATGGCCGGTGACAAGCCCATTTACTGAGGCTATTGGTCCTTTAGGCCCTGGCTCGGGTGTCCGAGTTCTTGCTCTACGGACATGCAAGGCTGATGTCGTCGTTGGGCTACCGGAAGGTGAAGATGAGAGAATCAGGGCAACTGAAGGCGGTGGAGGCGATAGTGGGGGGAGGAAATGGGCTTGGAGTGGTAAATGGGCTGTTGTGCAATTCTCTGATGGGAAAGCATAGAAGCTGTGTGGATGATCGAAACCGCTAAGTATTATTTCTTCTCTCATAGTGGAAGTTTCGCTTCAGTGCACATAGATATGATAGACTTGAATTTAAGCCTCGGTCCTATGCCTAGTTGATAAATCTCAGATACATATACCGAAAGCGCACGATACAGATGTGCACCCCTCCCTATGTCAATAATAAGATATTAAACTTCCTCCGCCTCTCACCCCCCCTCCAGATAATGCCTTTGAACATATTTCGGGGGCTTGAATATATTCTCGCCGTTGATGATGGGTTTGGCAATGGCGCTAGATTTTTGAGTTTGTGGTGAGCAATATCACTCTTACATCAACTACTCCGTCAGCCCATAATGCATTCGATTTGTCTAGTACAATGGCTGTTTTGTCCGCTCTCTCCTAATGTGCCGGAATTTCGTCCAAAAAGCAGAACAGAGTTCGATCCGGGGGTAGTTGCTTAATAATGCCGCTATAGCATGACCAATGAGGTTCGAAGTTGCCTCTGTCAAATTCGTCCACATCCGCCTTAAGAACAGGGATTTCGACATTCTACGATGAGAGTATTCTCTTTTAGAGTATTCCAAATACCGTCTTTCGCCGAGTTTTGATGTGAAAGATTTTCCGCGCAGTTTTCCATCTGCAAACATGGCACTTGACTTGCGCTTGGATACAAAGTCTTGGAGGATATTCTCTTGTCCGCATATCTCCTTAACTCCTTCCTTGATACGTATACTTTTATGTCCTCGTAAAACTTCAAGGACTCGAAAAGTTCTGAATGTTCGAATTTGAGATGTTCGAGAAGAATTTGGTCCTCATAGCCCTCTTTATTTGCATATGCAGGTGCGTCTGGATCATTGTTGTCTTGGTTTCCCTGTCGAGACAATTCAGCAGGAAGTGTCTTACTGAGGATTAGCTTCAACTCTACGTGGTTCCCAAATTACCTTGCAATGTCCCCACTTCTTACAAATGATCACTACTTTCGCCGCTTTGCTTCTTGGTACCTAGTTCCCCAGCAGCATAATTTCGCGGTTCTTATATGTTGATAATTTAGATTTAAAGTCTGTGTCTACGGTACTGTTTTCCTGGTTAATCTCTCACAGTTCAAAATGTTCCCGATTGGCTAGTCATTCACTAGCTGACATAACCATAGTGTGGATGGAGTTGCGTGATACGCTTTGATGAAGCTCTGTGAAGATGTTATGGGTTCATAAATGACCTCCTATATAACTAATTTCTAACTTAGATATTTAATGGTTCCTCGAAATACTTATATTCTTGTGGTGAGCTATTGGAACTCAAGATTAATTTACGCACCTAGCCTGCATATAGTTATTGATTGTTAAGTTCCTCGCATTATGAAGGAATAATAGTATGTGCTTACATATGTATTTATGGGAATGTTATAAGTAACAATTTGCTATATTTTCCTTGACTAATATTTTTAATACTTAGTAGTGACAGGGTTCAAAGAACAGCATTTCTAGTATATAAATGTTAGCCTTTTGCGTTCTTAAGTGAAGATTCTATAAATGGCTTTGGATGAGTATAGTAGATGAATTTTAGAATTTCTATAAATTAACGCCTCCTAGATTGGCCTCTTTATTACCATTGAATATAATAGACACAAATTAATGGCACGACTACTTGTTCTAGGGGGTCAAATGTTACGTAAGTGTCTGGGCTTAAGGGATGCTACTTAGAGATAGCAGAAAGTGCGAGAAGTCGAATTGGCAATGCGTTGCAAACTCTGGTTAACGCCTTCCACTGTAGGTCATTCACTCAATCGGATGAGCGGCGACACCGAGGTCGAGAAACGGTCCATTTCGCAGACTCGTTGATTGATACTGAATGTATATACTCTAATAAGATCTAACCCATTATAGTTATGTTAAGAGTAAGAGTTGCTGCCCCGGTACTTATACTACTATATATTCCTTAGCGTGTTTTATTATTTGTGGCGAGAGGCGAATCTTGTCTCAGGGAGGGATATGAGGAACTGAACTGCTTGATTGAAGATGGCCTGCAGGCCATATTTATGTACATATAAAAAGGGGTATATCAGCTGATATCCGGCGTGATTTTATATCGTACGTAGGTATCCGATACAACTCGGCGGACTTGCCAAAATCCCCATTACATTTTTACTTCTGGTCCTGAAAATACTCTCTACTTCGCTAAGCTATTGCTTTAACACCTCTATAGATATCAGAAAAACTATATACAAGTACCCAGCTAGAACGGCAGGCGATACTTATACATGACCTGCTTCAGTACCAGTCTTAGAGCTCTATTAGCTAGGCAGTTTACTTTTACTAAAGGCTACCAGCTAGCCATGCATTCAGTCGATCTGATCGCAAAGGAGAATACTAAGCTTCGCCTAACAAATCAACGCAGAAAGCTGAAGTGATAGTAGCGGCGAAGGTGCACTGTACAAGAAGGTGTCCTATCAAGCCAGCAGGGCTAGCTTCTAGTTGAATAGGCCGAAATGCTGGGCAACCGGAGGCTCAGCGAGTGGCTGCTCGGGTGCGGTAACGAGCACCACCAACGCTTTCTAACTACTATCTCTAAGGCCATAACAGGCGTTTACGTGCTAGTAAATAGATTAGCTATAGGCTATCTTTAATAGAATATATTTTGCTGTGGAATAATCGTATAAACAGGCGCTGGGGAGTAGTGGAACACCTTATTATGCAATATGTCAGAATTCACTTCGAACTATCGCACTCCAATGCAGAACCTTGCATGACCACTACGAGCGGACATGTTAACAGCAAAATAATCAGGTGTTAGAAATGAGTGAAATAAATGCAAAAATATGGACTTGCTGGGAATCGAACCCAGGACCTTTCCCACGCAGTTGATTTAAGTCTCTGACTAATGCTAAGGGAAAATTATACCACTAAACCACAAGCCCGGATAACAATTATTGAGATTCGGTTAAGATTAGAAATATTATGAATGTTTTTTACATCACACGACTAGTATATAACCCCACTTTCTACCGAAAACGGAATACGCAATGTCGCTTCCCACTTAAAGCTTAGTTATAACTTACTAATATTATGCCCTCGCTCCGGAATTTGTGAGCCTAAGACTAGGAAACGAAAAACGAAAGAATAAACGATATAATATTCCTATAGGATACGCCCTTAACCTGCGCTTAGGTGCAGCGTCTTCTCCTCTCTGGTCGCCGGCCTCCCTAACTTCTTGGCGCCTCTTACTACCACCTTCATTAAAGAAATCGTACCGCTTCTTTGTGGAAATAGTGCACCAGTAAATTCTTCAACTACCCTCACTTATTTTAACTACTTTATTCTATAGAATAAAGCGATGGACAATTTCTTTTCAGACTTGATTCCTGTTTCAGCTAACGAGACGGTTGTCTCTCTTGAAGAAGCTGTAAAAAGTTATGAAAAGGATGGCGTCACGCGAATGTTGAGGCTTTAGAAAAGGTTTAATAGGGCCGAAGAGACTGTAGATATTAAAATTAACAGCTGCAACGTAGTTTTGCGATTTATCTTCCACCTTCGATCAGAGAAAGAGAAACTACAGAACTCTTTTAGTCACCGCCGCCTCTTGACTATATTGAAGCATATTTCCGTTGGAGGTGTAGAATAGCAGTGCTAAGGGTGGGTAAAATAATTGCTCTTACTACTCTAAAGGACGGGTTTAAACAGCTGTGCCGTATTATGTTGCTAGGGTCGGGCCACAAATACATATAGAAAGAGAAAAGCGCCATTAAACTAGTACGGCTCCGCTCTGGGATACAAGCATAAATAGAATAACCAACTGCATCTAGTTTATCAAAAACTTCAAAGACTCGACTCGAACTGAGGGTGCTTCTACAATAACAAGGCAGAAGACTTAGCCTTGCAGATACAGAAGCTATAGTGTACTATCTTTAGTGCTGCGACGAGCAGACTTTTACGCATCCACGCATCATAGTACAGCTTACTTTCTAGATTGTACTCTATTATTACTGAAGTCTACGCCCCGGAGAGTGTGTAGAAGCTCTCATCAACGCTCAAACCAAGGTATCAGATACGGCAACATCACATTTTCCCCGTTCCGGCATAAGAGTGTACTATGTTATGAGCTCAAGATCACCTTACAACACCGGAAATCTAAGCGTAATACAGTCGATATGTGAAGTACCTACAGCGATTCTTTAGGCAGTTCTAATCATAAACAGGCAAACAATCACTCTAAAGGAAAACTTAGATAGTAGTTCCTTATGTGCCGTAATCTGGTTCCTGGCTTTAGCTTTGGTTGATAAAGGTTTTTTTATTAGAAAGTTGCCATAGATTTCGACAGACGTTACATAAAGTCATTAGCAGCATCATAGCAATACCTGATCCGAGAAGATAAGAAGGATCTGTTAGTCTTTCGTGCCTTGAGAGGCAAATTAATAGATCACGAAAGGATCATGAAAATCACTTCCCTAGCTTACTATATAAAGGCTCTTGGTCAGAGATGTGGATATAAGGACCCAGTGACTTGTGTTACGTGTTTCTACTATCCTATTATAGTTGGTCTGTTTTCAGGCCTATATAGTCTCGCCATTGCCAGCCTTTAGCTAAGCAGGCCGCTTACCCTTCTTCAATACATCAATATTTGCCTCAGCAGTTGATGCTGCCTGATACGCGACAGGATCTGCTCACTTAGGCTAAAATAGCTTAGCTGTAATTTATCCCCGCTGACGTTGGCTCTTTCCCACGACTCACGCCAGGCTGACCTATGTACACGCCCGCTCATCTACCACTCAGCATGTTCCGCGACAAGTGCGCTTGTTCTTACAGCTAGATACCTTTGTAGAGCATTCTGTATAGCATTACACAATTGGTCTTCTTATATATGGCCCTTTGAGAGTCTACCGCCTATCTGCCCAAATCCACGCTATAGTTTTGGTCCTTTGCCCATTTGCCTGTTTACACTACTGCGTGGCATCCTAGGAGGAACAGTAAGTTGGTCCCACTCCTGAGATGCAAGCATCCGTGAATAGTGTTGGCGACATGCGCATGTAGTAGGATGATCTTTTTCAAGGACGTCCTTAAACCCAGCGCATGTTCTTCCATATAGTGTAGTAGATTCGGCGTAGTGATATTGGTCTGCTAGGTGAGAAGCAAGACAGTATGTGGTCGTCAACATGTATAGATACTTCTTCCCAAGCACCTTCTTACGCGTTGCCAGCGTCTGCCTGTGCTTCAATTCGGCCCCTTCGTACTTGCCTTGACGCCCCAGCACGAGCGCCCAGTTATTCATGGTCGTCAGCGTGTTTAGATGCTCCTTCCCAAGCACCTTCTCACTGGTCAACAGCGTCTGCCTGTGCATAGATTCGGCCTCCTCGTGCTTACCTTGGCTGTAAAGCGCTACTCCTACTTCATTCATACTTGCAAGTGCCCGGTAATATACTTCTCCCAATCTCTTTTCTCTGAATGATAATACTCGTCGGTGCGTTATTTCTGCTGCTGAATATTGCCCGAGTCTCGCTTAGCACCGTCCTATCCAATCTAGAAACGAAGCCTTTGCCGTTTTATCCGCTAAGACGTCGAGTCTAACCACGTAGATTGCGTGCGGGAGGTACGTCATCCATAATTCCATCCTCTCATGCACGCCGTGTGGCACTAGCTCCTCGAGCCGGGCCACTGCTCTGCCCGCCCATGTCCCCCGCTCATCATGTCCGCTTAGCCACCACATAGACACCATATAGACTAGTCGGTGCATATTGGAGAATCTTTCTCTGTCTAACCAGTGTACCATCTGTTAGCGCTTTCACTTGCTGCACTAAGGAGCCTCTAGGAGGTAATAACGATTGGGAAATATAAATGCCATCAACGCATGCCATAAACAAAAGATACTCCACAGCAAGCCGGTCCTGCCTACGTATCTGATCGAGGGAGATATACCACGTCTTTGCAATTGTTCTCTCCCTCTCTTAGAATCTGCTAGGGTCTTCGGAACACTCGCTGAGGAGCTCGTTCTCTGTGCCAGTACGTTGAAGCAATGATATATACTAGGTTACTGATATGTTGTTGTTGTTGTTGTTGTTGTTGTTGATGATGAAAGCCACTGCCTGCACAATGGCAAGCGGTAAATATGTAAGAATCTCTAACAGTTCTTCGACAGCTATCTTGTCACTAAGATATACTTCGTTTACCATTGCATTAGCAGCTGCATAGCTCCAGCCTTATTCATATCTTTCAGCACCAAAACGCTATTTTGTGTTAAATCTCCGGCTTCCTATTGTCGCTCTCTTAGCAAGAACATGTGTCTGTAACGGGCGGCAGCATATGTGACCAATTAGCTTTCGCGGTAGGGGGCCAACCACGCTACACAAAGTGCGAGAGCCTGGCTCCCCCCATAGACTGACTATATCGTTCGTGGTAGACACCGCACTAAGCACCGAAAGTATTTCGAGGATGAAGTAAGTCTTTCAGGCTTCTGCTGCTCATGAAGATTCTCTTACAACTCGGGATAAGAGTGTTCTTCCTATTCCTGATCTGTTGCTGAGACTATGCAGGGTACCTAGCAGGCCTCCCTACATTCGAGAGACTCGATGCTAGAGTCCTCTTGCTAGTGAACAATGTTGTTACACAGCGGTGTTTCCTTCTACACAGATCTATGCCGTAGGTGGGATAATGTTTTTCACGATAACACCAACATATTTTCGTCTAAACCAGCGATGCTTTCCTTCCAATTGTGGCGACGTTTCCCGCCTCCTTGGCAAAGTTTGCTTGCGCGAGGAATGACGGTCGCTTCGGACGGTGGTAAGGGTTCTATGTTAGCCGCTTAGCTGGGTATTTTACACAGATTCTAATAGCATATGGAGTCTTGGAGAATGATCCCTGATAGGTATGGTATTGCTTTCTTCGGTTTCCCTGACATAGCAATAATCGTTAAGCCTTTTACAAGCTGCTGCAACGACCAAAAACCGAAAACATGGGGTCCAATGAATGTAGGCGAGTATCTTCTTAAGAAAAGGGCAGACTTGTGCTCCTAAATTGGATGAACTATTGTATATAAACCCTTTAAATTTAGTATGGAATTATGCTGCGGATATAGAGTCACGTAAATTCTTTTCTAGGAATCGCTCCGGAAATGCCAAGAGACTTTCTAAAGTCCGCCAAGCGGGAATAACCAAAATCGGCTGTCCATTAGTAGTAGCGCTTCACTTACGCAACGGCTCAGAACGTCAAATAGGAAGGCCATCTATAGCGTGTTCCTATTGATGACATCATGGCAGCCTATGCTACTCGATCGCTTCGTAGGAGTGGCATCCTTACCCCGCTCCTCCAAATTCGAACACGTCACGCTTTAGCAAGCTTTACCACCCCGCAGATTTCGAACAGGTCAATCATGCAACCGAAAATTTCCGAAGGACAAGATGAAAGCAAGATAAAGGCCGAGTTGGAGGTATTGTTCCAAAATGGGTGGAAGCTAAAAGAAGAGCAAATTCTTGAGAAGACGTATTATTTTAAAACCTACACAAAGGTCCTAGTAAGAGATTCACTCTACTATCACAGCCTATATAACAGTCTTAGGATCTCCATACATGTATTGGGGTTGGAAGCAAATCAAAAAATCACCATTCAAAAATGATTACTGTAAGTCTTATACTTTGCTAGCAAGGTCTCGATTGAGGCTCAGGTTTATGTAGGAGATCGGTTCTCTCGCTGTGTATTGGACGACACACAAACCCGGTGGCCTTTCTGCCAAGGACACATTTATGGCGAGATACTGCGATGACCAAGCAAAGCTCATTGGGACAGTGGACCAGAGTGAGGCCCAGAAGTGCGGCCCTCGCCCATATTCACAGATATGACTAGACGTGGCATGAGTCCCTAGATATGGACGCATTATGGCCAGCTGAGAAAGGGTTTAGATAGGCTGATACGCTTCCAAACCTTATCTGGG